GACGACGAGGAGGACGACGACGAGGAGGACGACGACGAGGAGGACGAGGACGAGGACGAGGAGGACGAGGACGAGGACGAAGCAATCTAGGCTGCGCAAAAGTGAAAAGCGAATGCTCATGCACCAAAATCGAAAGATTCATGATCACCTCAACGTCCAAACACTCTCTGCTGTAGCATGTTTTAGCATGCTGTATGCGTGACTACAGGATGACGAATTCTGGAATTGGAGTCTCGTACGGCACCGAATGTCTTCGGGGTAACCCGAGCAACACCCAGCCCATTGGGCAGAGAGAATGGTCAAGTCACTTGAAGCGGAACTCTGCAAAGGCACCGCACCTTGAGGGTGATTGCAAACATTTGCAGATTGATGAAAAAATAGATGTTCTCAAAGGACATTGATTTGGGTGGCCATTGACCCCAACATGGCCCAACATGAGTGCGAAACTGTCATCCGACTCATCCAAAAGCCTGAGTGAAGGCAAACGACCAAAGCCGCACAAGTCCGGAGGGTTTAGCACATTAAGGCGGAATGATTTTCTATGGCCATTGGGCTTTCTCGTGCAGGTGCAGGAGGAATGATTGTCTATGCCCGAGGGACACATCCACAGCATCTCGCCCACTCATGTACTTGACATTTCGCACTAAATGTGGCGCCGCTGTGGTGAAGAGGAGTTGATGGTCTACACCAGCTTCAGCAGAAGCGATGACCAGCATCCTTAACGAAGCGCTCGGAGTGGATTCCAAGTAAAACCGGGAAGGGCCCCATTATAATCCATCATACAGTTTATATACAGTATATATATAAGTTGCATTTAAGTATAAGCTTATATTTTCTTACACGTGTGGCTGTCGTGAACTCCTTCAAGGACGGGCGAAAAAACACTGGAAGATGGAAGAGTTGAAGAGTCGCAAAGTCATTTCGGGATCATTGGAGGTCGCAAAAGAAAGCAAACCTTTTCCACTTTCGTTCGCTGCCCAAGCATCTTCCAAGCTGACCAAGGGACCGCTTCCCTTTGTCTCCAACTTGACACTGCTTCGTCTGCCAAGCTTTGGACAAACTGTTCAGCGCCTGATTCTGCGTCAAATCACTCACTGATCAGCACTCCATGCCAATTCTGCGGAAAGACTACAAATCAGACTACCCTGGTCAGCAATCTATGAAAGGCCACCAACTGACGAGCATTTACGCTATTGAGCCAGTGCAAATGTGAGAAATTATACAAAGTATGGCACATGCTTCAAGAACCTTGACTGTCAAACCAAAATGGAACCTGGCAAACCAGCCTGGCAAACCAGCTCCAGCATACGAGAAGTAGCTCAGCACCGCCGCAAGCCTTGAAACAAAAAGCACTCACTCACGCCCTTCGCTGGGGATGCGGAGCAAAAACTGACAGATTTGCCTGGTACTACTTACCTCTGCACTTGGAACCTCCGCGTGGTGCAATTGAAAAGGCGTTCAGCTGGAAACTCTGGTTGCTTGAATGGTCCCATTTCACAAGGAAGCTTATCAAGAAGGGTCAATAAACATCAATAAACTCTACCATCTATCAGGTGCCTTTCATGGAACGGAAAACGGCAACGACGCCACAAAAAAAAACACCGAGAACAACATTCAAAGCTTCACCAAAATTGCTTCAAGAAACTCAAATGTGTTGAAGCTCGGCGCATTTTCGGCCACCTTGGAATAACGGGCACGAAGCAAGTCCTTTTGAACAGCTTTCGGGCTGTTCGAACAGCTTTCCTTTCTTCCATCTGGGGTCGCAAAGTTTGATGATCAACAAATCATTGAAGCTTTTGAGGTGGTCATGACGTAGGAATGGTGTTCAGGTGAGCACGGTGATAACAATGTTCATATCGGGACGTTTTTGGTAGATCACGTTAAGTGTCCCCAAAGATCTAGGAACCACATCATTAGTGCGAGCGCTATCCTGCGTCTATCTGTAGGAGCTTCCTATTGCTCGTAGCTTACTCCCTTAATTAAGTAGGGGCCTGCTTACGTAAAGTAGAGGGTCAAGAAAAACAAACGGATGAACACAACGACGACCGAAACGCTGCACACGAGACACAAGGCGACCACCGACTTGGTCCAGCGGCTTGCGCTTTTGGCGGTATGCTTTGCCAATGATGGCGGTTCATGGTAAAACGCTTGCGGTTTTCCTGATGTTGTGAAAACAGCCCAGGTATAGTTCCAATGTGATCACAGTTGACCAGTTGTTACAGGAAGCAGGAAACAAACAGCAGATCGCAGGGGAAGATTCTGTTCATCGGACAGTTCCGACTCACCAAGGCTTTTGGGCTGACCCGGTTGCAGCTATAATGTTCTGCCAAGCTCTCTTAGGTTCTTGTGTGAACCACTAGGTGAAGCTGCAATCTGTTACCAGAGAGACACCATGACAACCATGTTGTTTCTTTCAAAGTCTTGCAAGCCAAAGTCGATGTCCTTTTCCTATATATATATATATACAAAGTCGTAGTAGTGAATAAATAATGCTGGGTGGTTTGCTCCAGCTCTGTAGATTCTGCTGGTGTGTTCTGAATAGAAAATCATCTTACAGTTGGCATGGCACTTCAGCAAATCTTGGTCGCTGCATGTCTCCAACCCAAAAACTTGCGCCCGTCCACAACAATGCAAGTCTCGTTTGTGGAGCACGAGAAAGAGTCCGAGTGACATAGCTTTGGCAATGCTGCGAGAGGATGCGGCTTGGGAAGTCTACTCTCCGGAAGGCCAAGCAAACCTGCGGAGTGATAGGGAGTGATGCCCCAAACGGCTAGTGATTCAAAACAAAAAATGATGAGATGCAGGATGTGATTGGAACCAAACCACCGCGAATCTGAGCTTCACTTTGCACAAAACACACATTTGCGTGGTTTTGATTGTTCAATTTGGAGAGGAAAAAGGCGTTTGGGCCCTTTTAATAGGCCCCATTAGGGTCATTGTTAAATGGAGTTTTAGAAGAACACTTTTTTTTTGTGTCCTTTCTCTTTAGACCAAAAAAGCAAGTCTGTTTTCTTATCTCTCCCCTCATCTCCCCTCCTTCCTTTCGTGGTCGGCCTGTGCCAGGTCGCGCCCAGCCATCTTCTCCCTCTCGGCCACTGCGTCCGCAGCCCGGCGCCAGAATCGCGCGTCGCGCCAGGGGAGCAGTGCCGCACGCCGCAGGGCTCGGACGAAAAAGTCGTCGCTTCGCCGGGCGAGGTCGAGGTAAGGTGGCAAACAACGCGGCGCCTTATCGAAGATGTAGAGGTGCAAAAAGCGCTCAGTTTCAACGGCGCCATGAGACATCACAAGTGTCTTCAGGTGCTGTGTGATGCATGTGGGTCTATGCTCCGGTACATGACGCATGTGTATATATACATAATCAATTATATACTTTGTGCTATGTTATATTATATTTTATTGTACTTATGTTATATTATTGCGTTATTACGTTTGTAATTACAGTAGGTATGGCTCAATATTGGAATGGGTCGACTCAAGAAGTGCTTATGTGCAAATGGTTGTCGCAACAGCATCGATTCATATCAATTCACGGGCCTCCAGGCATTTTCCGTTGAGTCCAAACGTTTCCGTCGAACCCCTACGCTTTGTCTGATCCGAAGACGAGTGCGGAACCAAAATGTGGCTGGACCCCCTTCATTGTAGGGTAGGATGCTTTTCGAGGCACCTTGTAGACCTTAGCCCCGAAAAGAAGACCAGACGCCGTGGTGTCTGTGCAATGCCCACTTGGAAAAAATCGGTCTGTCACAGCTACCAAATCCTCCTCCCTAATTGTTTCTCGCGCCTTACCACTGCTTGCCTACCTAAAGCAAGGCTGTGAAACAGCAACAGAACACCAAGTAAACATAAGTAAACATGAAATCAAAAAACCCAGGAAAAATCCTCCACCTTATGGAACTAAAGCATGCAGCATAAAGCATGTGTTCTTTGCGTCTCTTCATTGCATCTTTTCCAAACATGTCCCCCCTGAGCTGACTCCGGTCGGCAGCAAATGTTAGAGCGACCAATCGAAAGCCTTGTCAGTCCGACCGTGGGAATTCACCGGATTTGGGTCACTTCCCGATCTAGTCCGTGATGTCAGCCGATTGGACACCCAAAACCGCGACCTTACTCCGATGTCACTCCGTTTTGTCAGGGTCTTGAGCAACCTTCGTCAAGTCAACCTCAGCGCTCGGTTGGTCGGCGGCCCTGGCGACTTGGCGCTGTAGCGAGGCCACGAGGCGTCTCTCCTGGTCACTGTGAACTTCCAAGTCCCGTTTCCTGGCCTGAAGTCGCTTCATCAACACCAAATCTTCCTTCAACATCTCCTTCATTTGTTCCACGCTGGGACCTTGGATACTTTCAAAGGGCAATTCCGCCAGCATATCCTGATGTGTTTGGAGTTCTTGCCTGAGATGCTGCTGTGTTCTCCGGAGTTGATCGATATTGTCCTTCGGACGGACCTCAAGCTGGGATCTCACGCCCACATCCTGCTTGCTGCTACTGCTACTTGTACTTTGAAGCCTCGTGAGCTTCTGCAAGTTCTGCTGCCGTTCTCTTTGAGTCTTCTCTTCTTTCTGACGTTCAGAGTGCGCATGGAGCTCTGCCGCCTGTTTCGCTACCAAGGCTGCACACAGCTCCGCTTCCAACTGCTGGAGTTCCTCGCGCTCAGATTGTAACTCCTCCTTGTACCTCTCAAAACTGTTTGAGTCCGTAGACAAGAATGGAGCCCTCTCCCAGTACGAATTGGATCTCTCAGCACCTCGGCATTTCTTGGCTTCCAGCTGCTCTAATTTCATGCCAAGCGCATGCTCGTGAACGATCTCTTCTTCTCTTAGTCTATCTCTCTCGCTCTGCACAGCAGTGCAACGCTGTGTGGCTTTGGCAAGCAAACGCTGCTGCGAATCAACAGCTGCTTCAAGCTTGCTCCTGTGGACCATTTTCTCAGAGATCTGTTGCCTCGAGGAAAGTCTTTGAGTCAAGAAAAAATACGTTTTGTTACAGTTCTGTTCCAAGTGTTTTCCCTGAATGACCTTCAACCAAAATGGGTATTGCTAGTGATGATATGTATTCCGATGGCACCGGCACCGGTTGCCCTGCCAAAAAAGGGTGACAAAACGCAAAACGCGTCAAGCCTAGAATAAGAACAACATAGAATGTTTAAACAAATGTTATTCCTCGTACGAGTGACCAAAGGAAAAACATCTAAGAACCAAGTCAATCATGTGAGGAGTTCTTCAAGGAAACTCTGGCCTTCGCCCTCAGGCGGAGGGAGTTTCGTTGAAGCTCTTCTGCGGTCTACTAGTTTCCTTCGTACTACACACTTATATACCCCTAACTTACTAACAAGGAGCGGCCTATTCAAGAAAAACAAGAATCAATAGTCTCCTGAGAGTTGCTCATGCTTTTGGGCCTCTTCGCTCTCAGTTTGAAGTTCTTCTGAAACTGTCGCCTCTTCGGCCCGCCATCTTTCCAGTTCTTTCTCTTCACCTTCAGGTCTGAAAGAACGAACGGTCAAAATAAGATGCATGTTCAATCGTCTACAGGAGTTTAAACGGTCCGAAAGCGGAAGAAAAGGGCAAACATAGTTTTTCTTTCTCTTCACCTTCATTCGGCAGCGAGGGTGCAGGTGCAGCTGCCACACTCTCTGCACTCTCCGTGCTTTCCAGTTCTCTTAATTGCGATTCCAATGAAGCAGCCTCAGAGGCTTCACGTTGGATCCAAACCAAATGCCTTTGCCGTTCTGACTGCAACTCCGCGACTCCAGTCGCTAACGCTTCACATTGAGCATTTAACGAAGACAACTGTCGCTTTGACAGGCTTTTGCCCAGCATATCAGAACTTCAAGATGGCAACATATGGCAACATCGCGCTATGTCCGCAAAGAAATGGCACAGTCGTGGCTCTGGTGGCCCGATACCTGGTTCGTGTTCGTCAGTCACCTGCCTTATGAAAGCTGTCATGCTGGCATTGAACCACTGCAAATCAGGGGGGTGCGCTGTCTTCAAGTGAACTTACAAACAACTTCCACCACGGTTTTCCTCAACTGAGCACTCGCAGCATCTCTGTGGCCTGGCTGAGTTCCTGCGAAGCACATGTCGGTATTTTTTTTGCTCCTAGTAGCGATGCCCTTGTTACTAGTATCATCGTTGTTCCTAGTAGTTAATGCCAAGAGCTACTAGTAGCGCCCTTACTACTCTTGTATGCACTTCTGCGCCATTTTTGCGCCATCTGAGGATGTCCGAATCAGAAAGTGGGGGAGACCCTCCCCATCTTTGTTGCTCATTTGCAGGCCCATAATGACGTATATACATGAGATCTGGCCCGGTTAGGGCGCATTTGTATATCTACCTGAGAAGGGAGGGGGCGATCGACATTGCACTGACCTGAGGCAGAGAGGCGCAAAGTCTCGCATCGAGGGTCGATATGATAGGCTCTTTATATACAAGGCCTTGATCAAGGTTGAACTGAGCAGGACATTCAAAATTCGGGCGGGGATGCCCTTTTTTCTCTTGGCTCAAAGCCGTTTTCACACCAAAAAAGGGCACTGCTGGACTCACAAACAGTGAGCTTACCTCAGTGTAACTTATATGAGTGCGCACTTGTAATGTCCTGCTACGTTGCAAAGCGCTGTTTCTATGAGTGCTTAGAGCTTAGACGCAGTTGTAAAGATGAAGCCCGCAAACATCCTCCTGAGTTGTGCGAGCGCTATCTGTATGAGAACCTAGCTTGCACAGTCTCGCCGCTTCTGCCCTCTAACTGGCTGGACACACCTGGTCTGTCGGTGTGGGGTCACCTCGTTTCTTACTTGCATTTCCTGTTACGCAGTCTCCCCTCTTCTGTCCTCTACCCAACCTCCCACCCTAGTCAATAAACTGTCAAATAAATACTCTTCTGAGCACTTCGTGATGCTAATGATGCACAATTTAGTGTCGTTTGCATCACTCGCATCACCAAGAAACCTAAAACATACAGGATGCTCGATCTTTTCGATCTCCCCACCAGGCTCTGGGTTCGCCCTACCCGCCGGGATCCGCCCTGCGCCCCAAATCACTTCGTTTGCCCATGGACAACTCCTCAATTACAAGATGTGTCTGTCGTCTACATGCCAAGTGTGACCAGTCCTGCACTTCGGAGACCTCGAAGTCTTCTCAGAGTTTGGCGCGAAATGGAACCGTTTTGTCATGCTGATACCTTAGGGGCTCGGGACCGAGGGAGAACAAGTGGACTTGATGGAACCAAACTCTAAAAAAATAAACAGTAGTAAAAAAAGTACAACGCAAACTTAAGAATCTTTTAGTTCAAGATGCAGCTCAATCTGATAGAGAGGCGATTCCTTCCTGGCAAGGACAAATCGCTGGAACCCATGTAGATCCAAAAGAAACTCATAAAGCAAACCGCACCAGTGATGGGTACAAACCTGAATGGCGCGGATGATACAAGTACTTGCAGGGTCAAGGCAAGAGAATCAGCAATGTCACTGTCCATAGAGTACATAAATCTGCCCCTGTGTCAAATGATGAAGCCTGGCTGCCCACCTTTGAAAGGACAGCTCCAAGCGTCCTGCAGTACGCCAATGGACCTCACAGGTGCTCGGAGGGAAAAGCACTCAGGGGAGACTTGGGCCATCTTGGACCAGTTGGCGGACAAGTCATTTGTCATTGATCTCCTTTAGCCGATCAGAGTATTATCAGAGCCTTTGATAGCCTTCAATGAGCGGATTCACTCTTAGACACTATAGCGTGTCCATTTTGCACCTAGCATCACCTGGTCTTATACCTGGTCGCCGTCGAGCTAGCTCCGCGCCTCATCTGGGCCATCCGCCCAACGCAGGTTCCGGCACCTCAGCGTTCTCACAGCGGTGTCCTCCGTCTTGCCGTGTTGAAGATTCGAAGCAGCCACCCAGTGCCAATGTCGGCGGGGAAGTGCAGAATAACCCCAAAGAGGAACGAGGTGCAAATGTCTGAGGCATGCTCATGAAAAGACTCAAAGGCCAAGAACATCCCAATTCCAAAGGAGAGTTGAAGCAGAAGAGCCCGCAAGCTAACGCATGCTGACGCCAAGAAAACGTCAAAAAATAGAAGACAGGAGATGGCGTCGAGGGCGAGTGAGAGGAGAGTGGATGACGCGCGCAACGCATCACTTCTGTCGTATTTGGACTGTTTGTTGCTTCTGTCACCCCCCTTCAGTGCTGCTGCAAGTTCGGGAGGCCAGAGACAATGTCAAAAACTGCTTGTGTCTGTGTGTGTGTGCTTGTGAGACTTCATTAATACCAACCACAACATCCTCAAGAATCGTCCAATAAGAGTGTGTGCTGAAGTTGCTGAACGGTCCTTGGAACCTTGCACCGACTGCTGCAACATGAAATGCTAGCTTTGGCTCGCAACACCATCAAGTTGGGGCACAAACCCGACAAAGGCCGCAGGGAGGAAGCTGTCTTGAGAGCCTCGCGGTCTGCTCGTGATTCAATCTTGCTGTTTGCTACACTCATGTTTGGTGCAACTGCTTCAGCCGTCCTTCACCATTGTGTTTCTTGGGCTGTGCTGGCTATGCTTTGCTGTCCACGGTATGCTCTCCAACTGCTCCACGGGGTTCAACAAACTGCTCAGACACGTGATCCAAATCAAAAACAAGCAGATTCTAGCGCTACCTCTGCTAGACACTTGACCAGTATTTTTGTTCAAATCGCAATCTTGAGAAGGGAAACAATCAATGAAAAGTACATACGGACAAGATGTCATCAATTCCGGTCTCTTGCTCGAGGCATTGTCTCAGGCGTTTCTCAAATGTCTCTCAGGGCGCGGTCCCATTGAACGAATCTTTCAGACCTCCAAGGCCGCCGTGAAGCTGCATCGCACGATCCACCACACGTTGAGTCCTAAGCATGGAGCGTTTTTGCGAATCCAAAATTCCACGGTCAACATATGTCAACATAGCCTTTTCTCTTGCTGCAAGTGACCCAAAAATACCAGAACCGTGAAGGCCAACCAAATTAATCTAAGATCCTTAGGTCGATTGAATTGATTAGAGTTGCAGCATTGCAAGTGCCTCTGTCATCGTTGCTTGAGGAACAGTGCCGGGCAAAAGCATCTCCCTCGTTCGTTCATGCCCAGACGACACACCAATATGGCTGTGGGTCTGGGTCAAAACCTGGAGCCCCAAACCTTGGTGGGTTGACATGCTTTTTACATACATAGAGGAATTTGCTCATTTTCAGCGGTCAACCAGGGTTACGAGGTATTGACCCACAGTCATATATAGAACAGGTCCTAATAGGCGATTGTTGGAACTTGGGACTGTGAAAAAAAGGCTGTCAACGAAGCCACTCCGCTGGGTTTCCCTGACATGCTGGGCACCACAGCCTCAACAGAGGCGTTTTGCAAGATCATGTCTCGTTTGTGCAAAAACCAAGAGCTATGTCGAACGGCCCTGCCTTCACAAGGCTCAGAAGTTTTCGGGTGTAGTGATCAGTGTTGCCAAGCCTGAGGTGTAGTGATCAGTGGTCATGTATTTTTGGATGGCATCATGTCTGGCAGAACATGTTGCAAACAAAATGCATCGATACAACACCAATCACCCATTGTAACCTTCTCTTTTGTGTCCGCGCACCTGTCCATCCTGTCCGCAGCTTCACGAACCAACAAACGGGCCTGGCGGGTCAACATGCAGGTCTTGGCACAGATGCGGTGGGATGCGGTTGGCAGAGGTGTTGCAAAAGAGCTGCAACTCAAAGGGTCCTGGTCAATCTCAGCGCGGCATTCGGCGATCTGCTGGACCTCAACTGCTCATCCCACGCTCTTGTTGAGGCTCTGCTAGAAAGTGGTGAGAAAAACATAGAAAAATCGTACAAGCCGTCAGAAATCTGGAGGGTTGAGCTAGGTGGGGGGGTCCATTTCCAGCTCAGGAGTTGCTGTGCTTTGCAGTGCTTTTGAAGATTGATAAGAGAGGGTGCGGCTTCGGACCAAAGGTTGACGACCCCGGTTACGCCAGCCGCGGGGTATCGGGTATAGCTTCATCGACATCGCGGACGCACGCGCGCCCCGCGGAACACTGCATTATTGACATCGTGGGTAGGTTCGTCTGTGTGTCCTGCCCGACCGTGACAGACAGACCGAGAGACCGAGACAGACAAACAGACCGAGACAGACCGAGTCAGACAGACCGAGACAGACCGAGACA